GCCTAAGCAGGCGCAATACCAGGGAGAGTACCAGACTCACGAGCACCTAGAGCAGCAGCAGCTATACCTGGGTCAGGCGGCACACATCGGTAACAGTCACCCTCAGCATTAACAGACAAAGCATACATAGCAGAAAGAATAGCATCAAAGTCTAGGTCAAAGATAGCAATCCTAGACCTAAGCAAATCTGCCCAGCGAGGGAGCTCGACGTCGTCACCAAACTCAGCACGCCAAGCGTCGTCAAGGCGGGAGAAGCAGCGGTGCTGAGTGTGAAGCTTCCCGCATGTCTGACCAGCACAAACACCCGTGCGAATGACATACGGGCAGCTATCACTACCCCCAGACGTCCCACACTGAACCAACCACTCACGGAGCTGCTGGGGCGACGGGGTCTCGCTCAGTCGCTGCTGCTGCTGCCGCTGGCCACCACCAGGGCCTCCACGCCGAGTCCCATCGCCACCAGTCCCACCGCCGACACTGCCGCCACTCCCACTGCTGCCTCCATCGCCGCCACCAACACCCCCACCCCCGCCACCACTCCCACCGCTGCCACCACCTCCACTTCCTCCACCACCTCCACTGCTGCCCCCACCACCACTCCCGCTGCCCCCTCCACCACCCTTGCTACCCTTGCCCTTGCCGCTGCGGCGCTTCGCACTAGCAGAAGCAGCTCCGACGTCCTCAGCACCAGGGACGTCTGCAGCAGCGGCAAAGGCGTAAGCGGGGGCAAGGGGGAAGGGGGAGCACCCCTCAAAGAAGGGCGGGCGCGGAGTGCCACGAACAGCACCTACAGCAACTGCACTAGTCTCAGCTGTGAGGAGATGCTGCTCGAGGAGGTCAACAGTGAGGGAGGTGGGGTCAAGGGAGAGAAAGTGGTCCCTGACAGAGCGAAGAGAGTCAGGGAGGCGAGTGACTATGAAGTAGAGGGTGATGAACATCGGGGGCTGGTTCTTGTCAAGGAACTCAGCAGGGACGGTAGCGCGGTAGCGAGCGTCGCAAGTGCGCAGGTGGGAAACCAGGTCCTCTACTGTGGCAAAGGCTCACTGCTTGGGGAACAGGTAGGGCAAAAGCAGGCTACCTAGAGCAGCAATGGCAGGCGAGGAGTAGCGGGCGACTACAGCAGCGTACAGTGCCTGGGCTGTCCTGTGCTGTCCAAAGTGGGCGCATTCAGCTAACGGCAGGTGGTTGCGAATGGCCAAGCAGGCAGCAGCGTCGCGAGTAAGCCACTTTGAGCGAGTCGCACTGTCAGCTGTGGCGGGAGGGGCAAGAGCGGCGCCTGACGCAAGGTCAAACAGCAAAACACTGTCCTTAGACTCGCTCTGTAGGTACAGCTGCAGGTCGTCGAGCCACGTGTCAAATTGAACCGGTCTGCCCTCATGATTGAACGCGAGAACCCTAAGCGAAGCCATAGCTGTGCAGCACGCAGCAGCAGCAGTAGCAGCAGCAGTAGCAGCTGTAGTAGCAGCAGGGACAGTGAGGCCAAGGGGCCGAGGGGCCAAGGGGCCGAGGGGCCGAGGGGCGGGGCCGAGGGTCCTAGGGGCCGAGGGGCCAAACACGAATGGGGGGGGGGGGGGGGGGGCTAGGGGCCGAGGGGCCAAGGGGCCTAGGGGCCGAGGGGCCTAGGGGCCGAGGGGTTAGCAGGGAGGGGTCAACGAGGCCGGGCGTGGGGCTAGGGGTCGACGGGGCCGGGCGCGGGGCTAGGGGTCGACGAGGCCGGGGGCGCGGGCTAGGGGTCGACGGGCCGGGGCGCTCGGGCTAGGGGTCGACGGGGCCGGGCGCGGGGCTAGGGGTCGACGGGGCTGGGCTCGGGCTAGGGGTTGACGGGGCCGGGCGCGGGGCTAGGGGTCGATGGGGCCGGGCGCGGGGCTAGGGGTCGACGGGGCCCGGGGGGCGGGCTAGGGGTCGACGGGGTCGGGCGCGGAGCTAGGGGTCGACGAGACCGGGGGCGCGGGCTAAAGGTCGACGGGCCGTGGGCGCGGGCTAGGGGTCGATGGGCCGGGCGCGGGCTAGGGGTCGACGGGGCCGGGCGCGGGGCTAGGGGTTGACGGGGCCGGGCGCGGGGCTAGGGGTCGACGGGGCTAGGCGCGGAGCTAGGGGTCGACGAGGCCGGGGGCGCGGGCTAGGGGTCGACGGGCCGTGGGCGCGGGCTAAGGGTCGACGGGCCGGGCGAGGGGCTAGGGGTCGACGGGGTCGCTCGCGGGGCTAGGGGTCGACGGGGCCGGGCGCGGGGCAGGGGTCGACGGGGCCGGGCGCGGGGCTAGGGGTCGACGGGGCCGGGCGCGGGCTAGGGGTCGACGGGCCGGGCGCGGGGCTAGGGGTCGACGGGGCCGGGGGCGCCGGCTAGGGGTCGACGGGCCGGGCGCACGGGCTAGGGGCGAAGGGCCTACGGGCACGGCCTAGGGGCCTGGCCTAGGGGTCGACAGGTCGCGACGAGCAGTAGGGGCAGCACGAGGGCTGCAGAGGGCGTCTAGCGGGGTAGCGGTGTGGTGGGCCCAAGGAAAAGCGGTCCTAACGGAGGACCTGCTCTGAAACCATGTCAGAATAATGAACAAGAATGAATGAACTATGAAATAGTTGGGTACAAGTACTAACCCTAGTTGGGTTGTACCCCTTATGGGCTACCCCACTATAGCCTACACAAATGTAAAAGCTATAATTTTCTGACAGATTTTCAGAGTGAAGTGGCCGTCGGGTTCTCCGCCTGCCTTCAAGGCGCGTTATGTTGCTCGAGGCTTCAGTCAGTGACAGGGGGTCAACTACTTCCATACCTTCTCCCCCACCCCGAAGATGACTACTCTTCGGGTGTTACTGCACGTTTCAGCACAGTGTGACTACGAGCTGCACTCCCTCGACTTCTCCACAGCTTTCTTGCAAGGAAGCCTTCGTGAGGAGATCTGGCTGCGCCGCCCACCTGGCTTCACTGAGTTGTTTCCAAAGGGTACCCATTGGAGTCTCAGGTTACCAGTCTACGGCCTCCGCCAGGCGCCCTATGAGTGGCACGACACACTGAGGACGACACTTCCGGCTCTTGGGTTTGCTCCTTCCACTGCTGACCCGTCGCTGTTTCTCCGCACCGACTCTGCTCTGCCACCGTTCTACATCCTCGTGTACGTCGACAACTTGGTCTTTGCTACTGCCGACACTGAGGCGCTGACCCTTCTGAAGGCAAAACTGCAGAAGAGACACACTTGCACTGACCTGGGTGAGCTGCATAGCTATCTTGGCTTGTAGATCACCCGGGACAGAGCACGGTGCACCATCACTCTGACTCGGTCACACATGGTGCACCAGGTCCTTTAGTGCTTCCGCTTTCGGTTCTCCTCGCCACAGCCCACTCCTCTACCGGCCACTCGCTCTCAGCTCCACCTTCGGACGAGTCCGTAGAGCCAAGTGGCCCATACCCAGAGCTTGTGGGCTTCCTCATATACCTGATGACGTGCACACGACCTGACCTCGCGTACCCTCTCAGCATCCTTGCTCGCTTCGTCGCCCTCGGGCGAGACAGGAAGGAGCACTGGACAGCTGTGAAGAGGGTACTGCGTTACTTGTGTAGTACATCGGGCATAGGGCTTGTGCTTGGAGGACGGGGTCCAGTGGTACTCACAGGACACTCCGTCGCTTCTTGGGCTGACGACCAGGCGACTCAGCGGTCGTCCCAGGTTTACTCTTTCAGTCTCGGCTCTGGCTCTGTCTCGTGGAGGTCCACTCGTTCGTCTTCTGTTCTTGGTTCCAGCTGTGAGGCCGAGATCTACGATGGGGCCATGGCTGCATAGGAGTTACGCTGGCTGACCTACCTGCTGACCGACTTGGGTGAGCGGCCTCGTTCTCCTCCAGTTCTGTACGTTGACAACAAGGCCATGATTGCCTTGTGTCAGGAGCAGAGACTGGAGCACAGAACAAAGCACATTGCTCTTCATCACTTTCTTACTCGGGAGCTGCAGCAGCGTGGTCAGCTGTGCCTTGCTTACGTGGCCTCTCGGGCCAACACTGCTGATGTGTTCACCAAGGCCCTTGGGTCTGGTGATCATCACCGTTTCTGCACTGCTCTAGGCCTTGTGCCTACTCTGCCTCACTTGCTGGTTGCTTGAATTGTCTTGTACTGTGATATATGTATGTATATATACATATGCCTGCATGCTTGTTCTTGCTAGGTTGTGATCACTGTACTGCTTGTGCTTTTATAACTCTGCATGTGAACTGGCCTTGTGGCTGCTTTCTTGTGCTCAGAATGTGTGGTGATCTTGAGATCCACCCTGAGCTTTGCTTTGCTTTGTTCTCTTGCTTGACTGGTCTTGTGACCATCCTCTGTGTTTGCTATCCCCTACTTTGCGTAAGGGGGTGTGTCGAATTGTATTTGTTCTGTAGGCTGTAGTGGGGCATACCCTAAAGGGTACAACACTTGAGGGTTAGGGTTAGGTACACAATCCTGTACTGCCCATAATTCTAGTCATTCCTACGTTCCTATTCTGACAGACTCGCTGGAAATTTGAAATTCGTTACCGTTTTAATCAGGATCGAAAAATAAAATCATGCATGCACTTATAATAAATCAGGGTTTTACAGGGGGGGCGCTTATAATCGAGTTCCGGCCATAAGCGACATGCTCCAGATAGAAGCGCCGGCGCCTCTAATAGGACGGCGCCTATATCCGGGGCCATACGGTAGTAGCACTCTCATCGCATGTCACGCACGCACCCATTTGCTTTAGAACACGCCCTATTTAGACCACACCATTTGCATGATGTATGCCATTCCTTTATTGAGGAGCCTCAATTGTTATCTTTGTCACTTCAATTATTGAGTCTCCTAGATTTTATTTTTATTCTCCTCAGAAGTTATCTTGGTCATTTTTGTTTGACCAGATTAGACGTGCTAAAAAGAACTCCCCTACATTTTGGTGTCTTACCTACTAGGTTTCCGCCTACCCCAAATAAGCCTGCCCACTTCCAAATTCCACCAGACCGCCCTGTCATTTCTGGCGGCCACCACACCACACCGCCATGTATCTCGTCGTTGTCGTCGTCTCGCTCCTCTTGCTCCGCGCATCGCAGCCGTCCGTCATGGCGCAGATGCCGTCCAACATGCCAGGCGGGCAGATTGGCGGCGAGGCGGGTATCGAGCGAGCCATGTCTCTTTTCCGAGTGAGTTCCGCTCGCTCGCTCGCTCCCGTCTGCACACAGCGTGCTGCGATGATGGCGGGATGCATGGAAGAGCGTAGCGTAGCTTGGTTGTGGCGGCTACTAATTTGAGGCGCCTCAAAAGCTAGTTCCGGCTCGCTCCCGTTAGCACTGCACACAGCGTGCAGCGTTGATGGCGGGATGCATGCGAAGCGCTTAGCTTGCGTGTCGCGGCTGCGAATTGATTCGCCAAAGCACACTTGACTTCCCCTCTCCCTCTCCCTCTCTCTCTTTTTCGCCCTCTCCCTCTCCCTCCCCATCTTCCTCTCCCTCTCCCTCTCCCTCTCCCTCTTGCTCTACCTCTCCCTCTCCCTCTCCCTCTCCTTCTCCCTCTCCCTCTCCCTCTCCCTCCTCCGCTCCTCGCTCCTCGCTACTTCGTCCTCGCGTCTCACTCTTTTTTCCCCTTAACGCATCACCTCGCACCCCTTGATGCGTCAGATATGGGAGGAGGCCTACGGATTGAAACAAGACATCCACTTCCCTTCCCCTCACGCTCTCATTCCCTTCCCCTCGCGCTCCCATTCCCTTCCCCTCGCGCTCCCATTCCCTTCCCCTCACGCTCCCATTCCCTTCGCACCCCGTCTTGATGCGTCAGATATGGGAGGAGGCCTACGGATTGCAACCCGACAACCACATGCCGCTCTCATGCTCCCTCCCTTCGCACCCCACCTTGCTCCCTCAGATATGGGAGGAGGCCTACGGATTGAACCATGACGTTCACATGCCACCCTCAAATCTCACTTTTGAGGGGCCTCATAACTAAACGCATCTTTTCGCATCCCACCTTGCTCCCTCAGATATGGGAGGAGGCGTACGGATTGAAACAAGACATCCACTTGCCGCCCGCAAAAATCACCTTGCCGGACATCGTGCCGCGCGCGCCGCACCTGGAGGACTGCGAGGCGCTGACATCGGCGAGGAGGGAGTCGGAGAGACGCGGAGGGGACGGGCAGCCTCCTCTGTGGGCGCGGCGTGTTGATAACTGCTCCTCCGAGTGCAACCCGCAACCACCATGGGTACTCCTCTCTTTTCCTCCTCGCGGCCTCCTCTGTGGGCGCGGGCTATTATTAACTGCTCTCTCTTCCCCTCCTCGCTCCACACGTGGAGTACTGCGAGGCGCTGACAGTGGCGAGGAGGGAGTCGGAGAGACGCGGACGGGACGGGCAGCCCCCTCCTCTGTGGGCGCGGCGTGTTGATAACTGCTCGGACTGCACCCCGCAACCACCATGGGTACTATCATATGATATCATGGCACCATGGATACTACGGCTACCATGGCACCACCGTGCTCGTCCTTCCACTGGGATTGTAAGGCTGTGTCCACCATGCTGTGTACACAGCCTTGTCCAAACCACAGAATTCTCAAAAGCGATTCCAAACAACCACAAATGCCGGACATACGTTAGAATATGCATCCCTTTTTTTTTTTTTTTTTTTTTTTTTTTGACATAGGGTGTAAGAAAGACAAATTGGAAATTCTCTTTCGCATCTCTCAGCGGAAATGGGTCGTCGGCTCCGTCGACCCTCTGACGACCTGACGACCTGCTGCCCCAGGCAGAAAAAAACTAAAACCCTATCAGATGGCATGCCATCCGAGGGAGGCATCAACCCTAAATCCATGCCTCCCTGTGTTTAGGGTTGATGCCTCCCTGACCGGATGCATGCCCGAATGGGTTTTATTTTTTTTCCCGCGGGCAGCGAGCTCCCCTCGGCGGAGTCGCTTGTCCGCTGAGGTATTTCATTCCCAACTACCCATCACCGTCCCCTGTCCAACCCTTCCCAGCCCCCAGGTGTGGTATGGACGGACACGGACCATCTACCGCCCTCGCGCGTGGCGGGAGCGGGATCTGTGGGAGCACCAGTTCTCTTCCTCCTCCCCGTCTCTTTCCACACGTCTCTCCCCACCTGCCCTCGCGTCTGCCTTCCCCCCAATTCAGGTGCGTGGATCGGACGCGGACAACCTGCCACTGACGCGCGTGGTACAGCGGGATCTGTGGGAGCACCAGCTGTTTCCCCTGCCTCCTCCCAATCTTTTTCCCTCACCTCCCCTCGCGCCTGCCTTCCCCCAATTCAGGTGCGTGGATCGGACGCGGACAACCTACCGCTGACGCGCGTGGTACAGCGGGATCTGTGGGAGCACCAGATGTTTCCGACTCCTCCCCACCTCCCCTCGCGCCTGCCTTCCCCCAATTCAGGTGCGTGGATCGGACGCGGACAACCTACCGCTGACGCGCGTGGTACAGCGGGATCTGTGGGAGCACCAGATGTTTCCGACTCCTCCCCACCTCCCCTCGCGCCTGCCTTCCCCCAATTCAGGTGCGTGGATCGGACGCGGACAACCTACCGCTGACGCGCGTGGTACAGCGGGATCTGTGGGAGCACCAGATGTTTCCGACTCCTCCCCACCTCCCCTCGCGCCTGCCTTCCCCCAATTCAGGTGCGTGGATCGGACGCGGACAACCTACCGCTGACGCGCGTGGTACAGCGGGATCTGTGGGAGCACCAGATGTTTCCGACTCCTCCCCACCTCCCCTCGCGCCTGCCTTCCCCCAATTCAGGTGCGTGGATCGGACGCGGACAACCTACCGCTGACGCGCGTGGTACAGCGGGATCTGTGGGAGCACCAGATCTTTCCGACTCCTCCCCACCTCCCCTCGCGCCTGCCTTCCTCCCAACACCCAGGTTCGTGGGTCCGATGCGGACAATCTACCGCTGACGCGCGTGGTGCAGCGGGATCTGTGGGAGCACCAGCTGTTCCCGCCTCCTCCCATTCTCTCTCCCCATGTTTCCTCGCGCCTGCCTTCCTCCCAACACCCAGGTTCGTGGGTCCGATGCGGACAATCTACCGCTGACGCGCGTGGTGCAGCGGGATCTGTGGGAGCACCAGCTGTTCCCGCCTCCTCCCATTCTCTCTCCCCATGTTTCCTCGCGCCTGCCTTCCTCCCAACACCCAGGTTCGTGGGTCCGATGCGGACAATCTACCGCTGACGCGCGTGGTGCAGCGGGATCTGTGGGAGCACCAGCTGTTCCCGCCTCCTCCCATTCTCTCTCCCCATGTTTCCTCGCGCCTGCCTTCCTCCCAACACCCAGGTTCGTGGGTCCGATGCGGACAACCTGCCACTGACGCGCGTGGTACAGCGGGATCTGTGGGAGCACCAGCTGTTTCCCGGCAGCTGCGACGGCAAGCGCGTGCTCGTCGTGCCGTGGCCCGACAAGACCCACCACGGCGTGGGTTCCCAGGTGGGATGGAGAAGGCGTGCTAGGTGGGTAGGCAGGTGGGAGGGGGCGTGCTAGGTGGGTAGACAGGTGGGAGGGGGCGACTTTTGAGACGTCTCAGAAGTCGGGACCTGTGGGAGCACCAGCTGTTCCACAGCAGCTGCGACGGCAAGCGCGCGCTCGTCGTGCCATGGCCCAACAAGACTCACCACGGCGTGGGCTCGCAGGTGGGAGAGGGGGTGGGTTTGCAGGTGGGAGAGGGAGAGGGCGTGCCTTATTCGAGTTCTGAGATGTCTCAAAAGTGGCCCAACAAGACCCACCACGGCGTGGGGTCACAGGTAGGAGAGTGTGTGCCTTACAGGAGAAGTTGGTATTTGACTTGAGAATTCTCAATAGCCAACAAAAAAAACCAAGCGCCTGTTGGTTTTGCCGTGGCCCAACAAGACCCACCACGGCTTGGGCTCACAGGTGGGAGAGGGTGTGCCTTACGAGAGGGAAGGACCGCAGGAGCCGGAAAGATAAGTGAGCTTGGCTGCTAGGTGGGTAGTGAGGGGCTGGCCTACCTGGGTAGTGAGGGGCTGGCCTACCTGGGTAGTGAGGGGCTTGCGAAGGAAGAGAGCGTCGGGTGGCTCGCAGGTGGGAGAGGGCGTGCCTTACGGGAAGGACTGTGAGAGTGGGAAAGAAAAGCTGAGCTTGGCTGCTACGTGGGTATTGAGGGGCTTGCCAAGGAGAGTAGGGGTGCCCACAGAGGTGGGAGTTGCTCCCTGGTCAGTTGGTTTCCCTTCCCTTCCTTCCTCTCTCCCTCCCTCCCTCCCTCCCTCCCTCCCTCCCTCCCTCCCTCCCTCCCTCCCTCCCTCCCTCCCTCCCTCCCTCCCTCCCTCCCTCCCTCCCTCCCCCCCGTTCGCTCTCCTTCCCTACCGCCCTCTCTCCCGCTTCCCTCCTTTCCTCCTTGCACCCACCCACCCATCAACACCAACACCATCAGATACACGTGATGAGCACGTTCCTGAGCCTGGCCTTTCCTGCCATCATTACCCCCATCATTACCCCCATCATTGCTCATCAGATACACGTGATGAGCACGTTTCTGAGCCTGGCCCTGATTCACAACCGCACACTCGTGCCCGCGCCTGGCTCGTACGACCGAGCATTCACAGAGACATGCAACTGTGAGTGCTACGCCCAGCTACTTCTTCCCCATAGTGAATCCCGACTGTGAGCCTGGCCTTGATTCACAACCGCACACCCGTGCCCGCACCTGGCTCGTACGACCGTGCCCACACCAAGACGTGCAATTGTGAGTGCCACACCCAGCATCGACTAAGCCTCCCTACGAGTCGAGTAAAAAATCGTCTCGTACGACCGAGCCCTAACTGAGACATGCAATAGTGAGCTCTACGCCCAGCTTATACGAAGCCTGCCTTTTGTGCGGGCCTGTGACCTCTGCTTCTGTGTATACCCATCTGTGGATATGTGTGCGTTTTTAAGTTATGTGTATCCGATTAGATCGACGCGTTTCTTTTGGGATTTTTCAAAAGCGTTTCTATGGGTATGCTATGTACGTGGAGCTGTGTAACTGTGTTACACTGTGTGTGTTACAATGTGCGTGTTCTCTATGCGTACTGACATGTATCTTTGCGGATCTATGCTTGCATTTCCATTTGTGTCAATAATGTGTCTCTTTGATTTTCTATGCGTTTTTGTGTGCATGGTATGGTGGTACGTGGTTGATCCGTGTTTCCAACAATGCACTGGTAACCAACTCCACCCCCAACGCCCATTCCACACTGAGTGGGTTGGGTCTATTACGTTAGCACCATGGGCAACCGCTTCCTTTTCCCACACCCACTCCCCATTTCCCACACCCACTCCCCATTTCCCACACCCACTCCCCATTTCCCACACCCACTCCCCATTTCCCACACCCACTCCCCATTTCCCACACCCACTCCCCATTTCCCACCCACTCCCCATTTCCCACCCACTCCCCATTTCCCACCCACCACCACCACCCCCATCCCCCGACCCTCTCCCTCCCCCCTCCTTTCCAGCCACAAGCACGGGCGGGGCGTGGGGTTGCTACTTCTTCCCCATAGTGAATCCTGACTGTGAGCGATTAGTCACAGATACGACAGCCAACAACACCATGCCCTCCCTCTCCTCCGACAAGGTGGGCCACAATCGCCTGGCTGCCTCGGCCGACCCTGTGGTGCATCTCAACTCAAGCTGCGACAGCCAGATGAAGTTTGAGGCCCGCGCTGCCACGTGAGTGTGAGGGGGAAGGGTGAGGGGGAAGGGTGGGGGAGGGCTGACTTCTGACTCGCCTCGCTGCCAGCCTGCCTCGGCCGACCCTGTGGTGCATCTCAACGCAAGCTGCGACAGCCAGATGGCTTTTGAAGCCCGTGCTGCCACGTGCGTGTGAGGAAAAGGGGAAGGGGGGAAGGGGGGAAAGGGGAAAGGGGATGGGAAACGTTGAAGGGAAGGGGAAGGGGACGGGGAAGGCACAGGGGAAAGGGGAAAGGGAGGAGGAGAGGGTGCAGGGAATGTGGGGTGGGTGCATGGCTCCTGAAGGTCGCCAGTGAGAGGGTTATGAGGCCTTCGCGGACTGATGATTTAGGGTTGTGGCGAGGTGAACGGGGTGAGGAGGTGAAGGGGGTGAGGTGTGTGTGGGGCCCACGTGTCAGGAGGACATACATTCGCGTCCTCTCTTCCCTCGCACCTCTCCCCCCCGCTCCCTCTTCCCGCTTCTCCCGCTCCTTACCTCTGCCACTCACTCTCCATGCTCCTATTTTCTTCCCAACCTCAAAGCCCCACCCAGCCCCCCACCCCCGCCCCCCACTTCCCCAGGCTCTGGGGCGATGCGTACGCGAGGGCCCCGAATGTGGTGGACTATATGGGGGAGCAGCCGCCCGTTGACGACAAACACTCAATGGTGCGTGTGTGCGTGGTTGTACGAATGAATCCGCATGGTACACAATGACTTTTGAGTCGACTCAGTAGTCACCTGAATGTGGTGGAGTACATGGGGGAGCAGCCGCCTGTTGACACCAAACACCCGATGGTGCGTGTGTGTGCTCGCTTGCGGTTTTTGAGACGTCTCAAAACTTCCCCAGGCTATGGGGCGATGCGTACGCGAGGGCCCCGAATGTGGTGGACTATATGGGGGAGCTGCCGCCCATTGACGACGAACACCCAATGGTGCGTGTGTGCTTCGAGACGTCCCATCCCAAAGTGTGCTCGTTTGCGGGTGCGGTTGTACAGATGAATTCACATGGTACACAGTTAGTTGGTTGGTACAGACTCTCGTTCGCATGGTTAACAAGCCATCCAGCCAGACCACATGGTAAACGCCCAGCTAGACCACGTCCCTCTCCCTGCCCCTCCCCTCCGCACCCGGCAGGTGCACTGGTGGCGACCCCAGTCAACGCGCTTCATGCTCGCTGGCCCTCGCCTCCCTTTCTCCCTCCCCTCACATGTGCCACGCCACCAACAAGGAGCGCCACACAGCCTACGGTCTCCACACCGCATCCCACCTCTCGCGCTACACCGAAACCCAGCGCGTCTACAGCGCGTCTTACCCGTCCCCTACCCCTCCCCTGCTCGCCCACATCTGCCAGGTGCACTGGTGGCGATCCCAGTCAACACGCTTCATGATGCGCTGGCCCTCACCCCACACGTGCCACCAAACCAACAAGGAGCGCCACACAGCCTACGGCCTCCACACCGCATCCCACCTGTCTCGATACACCGAAACCCAGTCCGAGATCATTCGGGCCGTTGCAGGCAACGCGTCCGAAGCACCCGAATCCAAGAAACTTGCCGAGATTTCCGCGGGCCCTCCGGGGCCCATCGAGGGGCAAGTGTGGGCTGTCCGGGGGTTCGCGGGGTGTGATGAGACTTGCATGGGTGCAGCGGATGCCAAGGCGATACGGGAGACGTACGCAGCGGTGGGAGGGGAGCCGTTTGTGGTGCGGCTGATTGTGAGTGTGCACGTGCGGCAGAGTGACAAGGGCACTGAGATGCGCCTGTCTCCGCTCGCCACACACATGTTCTTTGTGCACCGGCTGCGGCGCCATGTGCCGGACCTGCGATACGTGTGGCTCAACACAGAGATGGAGGTGCGTGCGTGGGGCAAGCAACGAGTGCTTTGAGGTGTCCCGAAATACTTGAGACGGCTCTCTACTGTTCTTTGTGCACCGGCTGCGGCGCCACGTGCCAGACTTGTGATGCGTGTGGCTCAACACAGAGATGGAGTTGTGTGGGGCAACAAATGCTTACCATGCCCACGCCTTACATTCCACCTCCTTATCGCTTGGTTTTCCTTCCCTAACTCACAATCCACCTTTTTCCTGCTTTTCCTCCAACGCAAACCTTCCTTCCTTCTTTCCCTGTCTCCCACCCGCCCTACAGTCTGTGGTCAAGGAATCAGCCTTGTACCTCGACTGGAAGATTCTCTACTCCTCCAACTCGCGCTAGCCCATGAACTCCAGGTCGAGCCGCGAGTACGAGACGCCTCGACTGGAAGGTTTTTCTTTGGAGTCGACTCAAAAGCTTTCTTTCTTCCTTCTCTCCCACCCGCTCTACAGTCAGTGGTCAAAGAATCAGCCTTGTACCTCGACTGGAAGTTCCTTTATTCCTCCAACTCGCGCCAGCCCGTACATTCCAGGTCAAGGCGTGTGTTGAGTCGTCTCAAAACTCAAACCTTCCTTCCTTCCTTCCCTGTCTCCCACCCGCCCTACAGTCTGTGGTCAAAGAATCAGCCTTGTACCTCGACTGGGAGTTCCTTTACTCCTCCAACTCACGCCAGCCCATAGATTCCAGGTCGAGCCGCGTGTCGAGACGTCTCAAAACTCAAACCTTCCTTCCTTCCTTCCTTCCTTCCTTCCTTCCTTCCTTCCTTCCTTCCTTCCTTCCTTCCTTCCTTCCTTCCTTCCTTCCTTCCTTCCTTATCTCCCACCCACCTTTCAGTCTGTGGTCAGAGAATCAGCCTTGTATGCCGACTTGAGGTTTTTGTTTGAGTCGACTCAAAAGCTTCCTTCCGTCTCTCCCACCCACGTCACAGTCCGTGATCAAAGAATCAGCCTTGTACCTCGACTGGAAGTTTCTTTACTCGTCCAACTCGCGCCAACCCATGGACTCCAGGTCGGGCCGCGAGTACGAGCTCAAGCAGTCGGTTACAGCGAGTTTCGCGAGTGTTATTATCGCGTCGCAGTGCGACTACTTTGTGGGTGCGCTCGGGTCTAATTGGAGCAGATTAATGAACGAACTGCGCTCGACGAATGGCAGGTTGCTTAGCGGCTTTTATACAGTCAACATGGGGGACTGGTAGCCTTTTGAGGCGCCTCAAAAGTTGATGTTAGTCATTGTGAATGGGAGGTTGCGACTACTTCGTGGGTGCGCTCGGGTCTAACTGGAGCCGGTTAATAAACGAGCTGCGCTAGACAAATGGGAGGTTGCTCAACGGCTTTTATACAGTCAACATGGGGGACTGGTAGCCTTTTGAGGCGCTGCACATGGGAGCTGCACACCCACCTGTCACTGTCAACATGGGGGACTGGTAGCCGCACTCTCCTCTACTGTCACATCTGCACACCCACTTGTGGCAAGGCAACAACCATTCGGGAGGGGACTTGGGCTTGAGTGTGCACAGTGCGCAGCTAGGAAAAGGTAATTCAGGCCATGTGACCATGCATAGTTCCTCGCGCCACCACTACGGTGTTTTGGGCCATGGTAGCTTACAGCAGTCTAGGGTTTAGGGCCACTCGTCTCGTTTTTGGCTTTAGCATTTCCGGCTTTCGCATTTCCTACTTTCGCGTTTTCGGCTTTCTTGCCTCTCTTTCACTCACTGTTCCTCCCTTCATACATGCCTCTCTGTACCGCCCATCCTCCCTACTTTCCTTGCCGAGCTCCTCCCCTCCACTGTTCCTCCCTTCGTCCATGCTTCCCTTCATTCCTACAGCTGGGTGCATGACAACCTACAGTCACACCTCAGTGGTCCATTTTTAGTCAGACTTCAGTTGGGTGTAAAGAGAGCAACCTACGTGTGATGAGACGATGTTTGAGTCGACTCCAAAATCGGTTGGGTGTAAGAGAGCAACCTACAATCACACCTCGGTGATCCACGTTGGGCAGGAGGGGTTACCATGTCTTGTTATGTCACGCTTGTTGTAGCAACACTCCCTACAGTCACATCTTCAGCACAAGCCCCAGCGGGCAATGGTCACTCCCAGGATCTGGCATGGTGTATGAGTCATGCACCCTTGACGCACCAATAGTATGTCACGCCTGCTGTAGCAACACACCCTACTGCAGTCACATCTTCAGAACGAGCCCCAGCGGGCAAATGGTCGCTTCGCTGCCTGACACATCTGGCATGGTGTAAGAGTCATACACTCTTGCTTTAATCTACTTAGTGTGATGCCAACCCATTGGTACAGAATATATCATTTTACCTATTTCTTCTGCTTCATCACCACGCTCCCCGGCCACATCTTCACAACAAGCCCCAGGGGACAGTGGTCACTCCCAGGCACACCTGGCATGGTGTATGAGTCATGCAGTCTTGATGCTTATCTGTTAGCATACCGTAGCAATATTATGCCATACATGCTATAGCAACACACCCTGTTACAGTCACATGTTCAGCACGAGCCCCATGGGGCAGTGGTCACTCCCAGGCACATCTGGCATGGTGTATGAGTCATGCACCCTTGATGCCAACGACTGAGACACAAGGAAGTAATCCAAACGCCACCCTGAGGTAGAGGCAGAGGGTTGGGAAAGGGGGGCGACAGAGGAAATGAGTATCAGCGTCTCATGGAGTAGGAGTCGTGCATGCACTATGCTAGCGACTGGGACACGGGAAAGTAGTTCAGGCGCCATTCTGTCGAGACGGGTTCGAGAAATGATCAGATATCAGACAAGAGGGTCCCTGGGGGTGCCCCGTACCTCTGTTGGCAGGTCTTGCCTTGGACCTGTATCCCCAGTAGGTATATGCCACGGCATTGGGATGCGTTTGTGCGTTCAAGAATGGGGAAGTGCGTGTGCGAGTGCCACGCACCTCTGTTGGCAGGTCTTGCTTTCGAACGGTACCCCCAGTAGGTATACGCAACGGCTTTCGGATGCTGCTGACGAAACGTATCCACCAACCCGGTGTGCATGCATGTGTGTGTGTGACACGTGAGAGTAACACGCACCTCTGTTGGCAGGTCTCGCTTTCGACCGGTAACCCCAGTACGTGTACGCCACGGCATTGGGATGCAGACAACGAAACGTATCCACCAACCCCGTGTGCATGCATGCATGTGTGTGTGTGTGACACACATATGGATGAGCTGGTTTTTGAGAATTCTCAAAAACCAGCCCCGTGTGCATGCATGCATATGTGTGTGTGTGTGACACACACATGGATGGGCACCACGTACCCCTGTTGGCAGGTCTTGCTTTCGAACGGTACCCCCAGTAGGTATACGCAACGGCTTTCGGATGCTGCTGACGAAACGTATCCACCAACCCGGTGTGCATGCATGTGTGTGTGTGACACGTGAGAGTAACACGCACCTCTGTTGGCAGGTCTCGCTTTCGACCGGTAACCCCAGTACGTGTACGCTACGGCATTTGGATGCTGCTGTCGAAACGTATCCACCAACCCTGCTGCTTCCCTTCGCCCCTCCTCCTCCCCACCCTCGCCCTTCCCCTCCTTTCCCCTCTTCTCCTCTCCATTCTCACTCTCCCCGGCACTTTCCCCCTTCCCCCCTGCTCCCCCTTCCCCCCCCCCTTCCCCCCCTTCCCCGCCTTCCCAGGGCACGCCCAGCAGGTGAGCTGCAAACGACGCCCGCTCCTCATTCGTAAATCCCGAGCTTCTCCGGTTGCCCTCGGGGTGGAAGATATCGATCTCCCCGAACGCACAGTTGAGGTCACCGGTCACAACCACCGGCTTCTGCTTCTCCAGCTCCTGCAATCGTGGGAGTCGACACACAGAGAGAGGGAGGGAGGGAGCGCTGCCGGTTGCCTTCGGGGTGAAAGATATCGATCCCCCAAACACACAGTTGAGGTCTCCAGTCAAAACCACCGGCTTCTGTTTCTCCAGCTCCTGCAACGGTGGGAGTCGACACGGGGAGGGAGGGGAAAGGAGGTGTGTCTCGGTTGACAGAGAAAAAAGGAGAAGGTTCGCTGCAAACAACGCCCGCTCCTCATAGGTAAACCCTGAGCTTCTGGCTTCTGTTTCTCCAGCTCCTGCAATGGTGGGAGTCAATAGGGGCGATAGGGGGGCACAGAGATACGTCTCGGTTGACGGAGAGAAAGGGGCAGGTTAGCTGCAAACGACGTCCTCTCCCCATCAGCGAACCCTGAGCTCCTGTGGCTGCCCTCGGGGTGGAAAATGTCAATCTCCCCTAACGCACAGTTGAGATCACCAGTCACAACCACTGGCTTCTGTTTTTCCAGTTCCTGCAATGGTGGGGTTCGAAATAGTGAGGGGACGATAAGCGAGCAGGTTACCTGCAAACGACGCCCTCTCCCGAACGCACAGTTGAGATCATTGGCTTCTGCTTTTCCAGTTCCTACAATGGTGAAATTCAATATAGAAGTAGAGAGTGCAGTTCAAATAATCGTTTACAATCATCATCGGTTAGAGTTACTGCATGATGATTGGCAAAACAAACACAGGAACAAAAGGGAGGGAGTGAGCGGATGGAAACACCAACACATCAGCAGCTGACCCGACCAGAAGGTAGGAAGAAAGAGCGGTAAAAATACCTTGACGTAGCTGCCGAATGCAACGTCCCACTCGGAGCGATAGCCCTGCAAAAAAATGCACATCAATTTCCCTCTGGAATATGCACATCAATTTCCCTCTGGAATATGCACATCAATTTCCCTCTGGAATATGCACATCAATTTCCCTCTGGAATATGCACATCAATTTCCCTCTGGAATATGCACATCAATTTCCCTCTGGAATATGCACATCAATTTCCCTCTGGAATATGCACATCAATTTCCCTCTGGAATATGCACATCAATTTCCCTCTGGAATATGCACATCAATTTCCCTCTGGAATATGCACATCAATTTCCCTCTGGAATATGCACATCAATTTCCCTCTGGAATATGCACATCAATTTCCCTCTGGAATATGCACATCAATTTCCCTCTGGAATATGCACATCAATTTCCCTCTGGAATATGCACATCAATTTCCCTCTGGAATATGCACATCAATTTCCCTCTGGAATATGCACATCAATTTCCCTCTGGAATATGCACATCAATTTCCCTCTGGAATATGCACATCAATTTCCCTCTGGAATATGCACATCAATTTCCCTCTGGAATATGCACATCAATTTCCCTATTCTGGAATATGCACATCAATTTCCCTCTGGAATATGCACATCAATTTCCCTCTGGAATATGCACATCAATTTCCCTCTGGAATATGCACATCAATTTCCCTCTGGAATATGCACATCAATTTCCCTCTGGAATATGCACATCAATTTCCCTCTGGAATATGCACATCAATTTCCCTCTGGAATATGCACATCAATTTCCCTCTGGAATATGCACATCAATTTCCCTCTGGAATATGCACATCAATTTCCCTCTGGAATATGCACATCAATTTCCCTCTGGAATATGCACATCAATTTCCCTCTGGAATATGCACATCAATTTCCCTCTGGAATATGCACATCAATTTCCCTCTGGAATATGCACATCAATTTCCCTCTGGAATATGCACATCAATTTCCCTCTGGAATATGCACATCAATTTCCCTCTGGAATATGCACATCAATTTCCCTCTGGAATATGCACATCAATTTCCCTCTGGAATATGCACATCAATTTCCCTCTGGAATATGCACATCAATTTCCCTCTGGAATATGCACATCAATTTCCCTCTGGAATATGCACATCAATTTCCCTCTGGAATATGCACATCAATTTCCCTCTGGAATATGCACATCAATTTCCCTCTGGAATATGCACATCAATTTCCCTCTGGAATATGCACATCAATTTCCCTCTGGAATATGCACATCAATTTCCCTCTGGAATATGCACATCAATTTCCCTCTGGAATATGCACATCAATTTCCCTCTGGAATATGCACATCAATTTCCCTCTGGAATATGCACATCAATTTCCCTCTGGAATATGCACATCAATTTCCCTCTGGAATATGCACATCAATTTCCCTCTGGAATATGCACATCAATTTCCCTCTGGAATATGCACATCAATTTCCCTCTGGAATATGCACATCAATTTCCCTCTGGAATATGCACATCAATTTCCCTCTGGAATATGCACATCAATTTCCCTCTGGAATATGCACATCAATTTCCCTCTGGAATATGCACATCAATTTCCCTCTGGAATATGCACATCAATTTCCCTCTGGAATATGCACATCAATTTCCCTCTGGAATATGCACATCAATTTCCCTCTGGAATATGCACATCAATTTCCCTCTGGAATATGCACATCAATTTCCCTCTGGAATATGCACATCAATTTCCCTCTGGAATATGCACATCAATTTCCCTCTGGAATATGCACATCAATTTCCCTCTGGAATATGCACATCAATTTCCCTCTGGAATATGCACATCAATTTCCCTCTGGAATATGCACATCAATTTCCCTCTGGAATATGCACATCAATTTCCCTCTGGAATATGCACATCAATTTCCCTCTGGAATATGCACATCAATTTCCCTCTGGAATATGCACATCAATTTCCCTCTGGAATATGCACATCAATTTCCCTCTGGAATATGCACATCAATTTCCCTCTGGAATATGCACATCAATTTCCCTCTGGAATATGCACATCAATTTCCCTCTGGAATATGCACATCAATTTCCCTCTGGAATATGCACATCAATTTCCCTCTGGAATATGCACATCAATTTCCCTCTGGAATATGCACATCAATTTCCCTCTGGAATATGCACATCAATTTCCCTCTGGAATATGCACATCAATTTCCCTCTGGAATATGCACATCAATTTCCCTCTGGAATATGCACATCAATTTCCCTCTGGAATATGCACATCAATTTCCCTCTGGAATATGCACATCAATTTCCCTCTGGAATATGCACATCAATTTCCCTCTGGAATATGCACATCAATTTCCCTCTGGAATATGCACATCAATTTCCCTCTGGAATATGCACATGCTCTACACGTCCCAACTATGTACCTTGATGTAGCCGCCGAATGCGACGCCCCATTCCTTAGTGCGATAGTCCTGGGGAGACGAATGCACACCTATGGTTCTCGGAAAATCCACTGACTCTAACCAACCCTCCCAGAAACGGAGTGACTTTACCTTGACATATTTGCCGAACGCAACGTCCCACTCCTTGGTGCGATAGTCCTGCAGACACAAGGCAGAGCAGGTGGGGCACGCACTGAGGTGAAGACCCATTCCTTGTATGACTCAAAAAGCCCAAGGCACCTGCAGAGCAGAGGGTGGGTAAGGAGAGGAGTATGGAGAGAGGGGAGTGTAGCAGCAGATGAGGAAGAACGAAGCGACTTTTGAGTTGACTCAAAAGGCAGATGAGGAAGAACGAAGCGACTTTTGAGTCGACTCAAAAGGCAGATGAGGAAGAACGAAGCGACTTTTGAGTCGACTCAAAAGGCAGATGAGGAAGAACGAAGCGCCTTTTGAGTCGACTCAAAAGGCAGATGAGGAAGAACGAAGCGACTTTTGAGTCGACTCAAAAGGCAGATGAGGAAGAACGAAGCGACTTTTGAGTCGACTCAAAAGGCAGATGAGGAAGAACGAAGCGACTTTTGAGTCGACTCAAAAGGCAGATGAGGAAGAACGAAGCGACTTTTGAGTCGACTCAAAAGGCAGATGAGGAAGAACGAAGCGACTTTTGAGTCGACTCAAAAGGCAGATGAGGAAGAACGAAGCGACTTTTGAGTCGACTCAAAAGGCAGATGAGGAAGAACGAAGCGACTTTTGAGTCGACTCAAAAGGCAGATGAGGAAGAACGAAGCGACTTTTGAGTCGACTCAAAAGGCAGATGAGGAAGAACGAAGCGACTTTTGAGTCGACTCAAAAGGCAGATGAGGAAGAACGAAGCGACTTTTGAGTCGACTCAAAAGGCAGATGAGGAAGAACGAAGCGACTTTTGAGTCGACTCAAAAGGCAGATGAGGAAGAACGAAGCGACTTTTGAGTCGACTCAAAAGGCAGATGAGGAAGAACGAAGCGACTTTTGAGTCGACTCAAAAGGCAGATGAGGAAGAACGAAGCGACTTTTGAGTCGACTCAAAAGGCAGATGAGGAAGAACGAAGCGACTTTTGAGTCGACTCAAAAGGCAGATGAGGAAAGAACGAAGCGACTTTTGAGTCGACTCAAAAGGCAGATGAGGAAGAACGAAGCGACTTTTGAGTCGACTCAAAAGGCAGATGAGGAAGAACGAAGCGACTTTTGACTCGACTCAAAAGGCAGATGAGGAAGAACGAAGCGACTTTTGACTCGACTCAAAAGGCAGATGAGGAAGAACGAAGCGACTTTTGAGTCGACTCAAAAGGCAGATGAGGAAGAACGAAGCGACTTTTGAGTCGACTCAAAAGGCAGATGAGGAAGAACGAAGCGACTTTTGAGTCGACTCAAAAGGCAGATGAGGAAGAACGAAGCGACTTTTGAGTCGACTCAAAAGGCAGATGAGGAAGAACGAAGCGACTTTTGAGTCGACTCAAAAGGCAGATGAGGAAGAACGAAGCGACTTTTGAGTCGACTCAAAAGGCAGATGAGGAAGAACGAAGCGACTTTTGAGTCGACTCAAAAGGCAGATGAGGAAGAACGAAGCGACTTTTGAGTCGACTCAAAAGGCAGATGAGGAAGAACGAAGCGACTTTTGAGTCGACTCAAAAGGCAGATGAGGAAGAACGAAGCGACTTTTGAGTCGACTCAAAAGGCAGATGAGGAAGAACGAAGCGACTTTTGAGTCGACTCAAAAGGCAGATGAGGAAGAACGAAGCGACTTTTGAGTCGACTCAAAAGGCAGATGAGGAAGAACGAAGCGACTTTTGAGTCGACTCAAAAGGCAGATGAGGAAGAACGAAGCGACTTTTGAGTCGACTCAAAAGGCAGATGAGGAAGAACGAAGCGACTTTTGAGTCGACTCAAAAGGCAGATGAGGAAGAACGAAGCGACTTTTGAGTCGACTCAAAAGGCAGATGAGGAAGAACGAAGCGCCTTTTGAGTCGACTCAAAAGGCAGATGAGGAAGAACGAAGCGACTTTTGAGTCGACTCAAAAGGCAGATGAGGAAGAACGAAGCGACTTTTGAGTCGACTCAAAAGGCAGATGAGGAAGAACGAAGCGCCTTTTGAGTCGACTCAAAAGGCAGATGAGGAAGAACGAAGCGACTTTTGAGTCGACTCAAAAGGCAGATGAGGAAGAACGAAGCGACTTTTGAGTCGACTCAAAAGGGAGATGAGGAAGAACGAAGCGACTTTTGACTCGACTCAAAAGGCAGATGAGGAAGAACGAAGCGACTTTTGAGTCGACTCAAAAGCCAGATGAGGAAGAACGAAGCGAATCAAACAATCACCACGCGCCCCTCCTTGTCGTGCTCTGGCTTGTCCATGCCGTAGCGCACTGAGAGAGGGAGCACCTGGAGGGAGGGGTGGGGGGAGGGGTTGGTAGAACTGTCAACCGTCACACCCGCCACTCCTTGTCGTGCTCTGGCCTGTGACCTGTCCATGCCGTAACGCACTGAGAGAGGGAGCACCTGAAAAGTGGGGGGGAAAGGCATGGCACACATGTAAACAATCGACTCAACCGTCACCACCCGCCCCTCCTTGTCTTGCTCTGGCCTGTCGTCAATGCTGTAGCGCACTGAGAGAGGGGGCACCTGAAAAGGTGGGAAGAGAGGCACATGTATAGAACGATCATTCCAACTGTGACTGAACCAATCTGTCACCATGCACCCCTCCTTGTCGTGCTCTGGCTTGTCCATGCCGTACCGCACTGAGAGAGGGTCCTGAAAAGGGGGGAATGTGGCAAGGCACGTATTTAGAATAAAACACATGATTCGACTGTGACTGAACTCAACCCGTCATCGCCCGCCCCTCCTTGACGTGCTCTGGCTTGTCCATGCCGTAGCGCACCGATAGAGGGGGCACCTGTAGAGCAAGGAGAGTGGCACGTATTACAATACACCTGTCAACGGTGATAGAATTATGCACTCCACCGTCACCCACCCGCCCCTCCTTGTCGTGCTCTGGCTTGTCCATGCCGTAGCGCGCTGAGAGGGGAGGGTAGCTGACCAGCAGTGAGGGAGTGGGGTTGGTCGGTGGATAAATTGCCTTATGTCACCATCCGCCTTTCTTTTCATTGAGTAACCAAGTTTGGCAGTGCTGCATTTCAAGAAAAGGTGCAGAAAGGATCTGTTTTTCGGAAATTCTAAAAAAACAGATTCAGTTTGGCGGTGCTGCATTTCAAGAAATAGTGCAGAAAGGATCTGTTTTTCAGAAATTCTCAAAAACCAGATTCAGTTTGGCGGTGCTGCATTTCAAGAAAGGTGCAGAAAGGATCTGTTTTTCGGAAATTCTCAAAAACCAGATTCAGTTTGGCAGTGCTGCAGTTCAAGAACAGGTGCGGAAAGGAGGGGCGAGCGAGGCGTTGTGCTTGTCAAGTTTCAATACAACGCGGCAGTGCAATGCTATTTGGCCAGATATTTCACTCACCTTGGAGAGCACTGCAGTGCCAGAGCTATGATGGATTATATGCTTTGGAGCTTAAGCGTTTAGCGTTTGTACGCCAGCGTGTACACGCTAAACGCGAAACGCTAGAGAAAACGCTATACGCAGCCCAGATTTTTTTCGGGGCTGCCCGCCTACCCAAAAATTTTCGAATAGCTCAAAAGCAGCGGAATTGCATGACGAGCAATTCTGTGAACTCAGATTGCACGTCAAGTGTCTGTCGTGGCTGGAAATTGGATTCGTGACCTGGAGTCGCGTTTATCACCTTCACATTTTGCACGTTCAGAATTGCATGGTCAAGTATGTCGAGTCGTGCAAGCACGTTGCCACAATTCAATCGCTCCGCTTCACCGCATTCAAACACAGCATCATGCTATTAAGCCACTCGTCAAAATGTCAATCTCGTTCGGTTTTCAGCTCCCGCTAGCTAGTTAGCATAGCACGCTCCTACGACTATGTCCTCCTCTCTCCCACGTCGCCTTCCGTCCAGACTGTGGAGAGTGCGAGGGATCCTTCGGCTGCGTCACGGGAATACCTTCCCGATGTAGAACACCCAGTGTTTAAGCACTTCAGGCTCATCAAGCGGGAGGAGGGCAAGGCACAGCAGTACGAGTGCAAATACTGCCCCCTTGTCTTCTCTGGTGCCGCCATCTGTTGCGCTCAACACCTGACGTCATGGAAGACCATGAAGCGCCGGGAGGTGACACTTTGAAAGAATGCCCCGGCTGATGTTCGCCTCGCGATGAAGTCCAAGTACGAGAAGCAGGCCGCAGATGCAGAGGAGAGGCGGCAATCGACTGAGGCTGCGATAGGTGGGAAGCGGTCCCGCATAACCGACTATCTCGCGGGCGACGCTGCATCGGCAAGACGCGAAGCACATCAGTCGCTTGCGCTGATGTTTACGGGATGTCACATCCCGGAGCAGATCGTCGACCATCCTCTCTTCGTCAACGCAATCAGAGACGTCGCCCGCGCCGGCGAAAACTATGTTCCACCAGGCCGGAAGTACATCGGCGGTAGCGGTCTTCAAGCATGCCGCCGTGGCATCGAAAGCGGGTTGGTGGGCATCAAAGCAAGCTGGGAAAAGGTTGGAGTAACTGTCGTGTCCGACATGATGACGGACAGAAACGGGAGGCCGCAGGCAAATGTCTTCCTCGTTAACGACGCGGGCGCCGTGTTGCATGTGTGCGTGGACTGCAACATGGAGAAGAAGACAGGGGGATACATTGCGGGGTTACTAAAGCCCGTGGAGGAGGAGGTGGGGGCGGAGAACATCGTCGCTTTTTGTATGGACGGCGGCTCCAACTACGCGGTTGCGTGCCAGACCTTGGTTGCAGAATGGCCCCACATTCAGATTGTCCCTTGTGCGACCCACGTCCTGGATCTCCTCATGGAGGATGTGGGGAAGCCTGGGTGGGCGAAAGGGGTGGTGGATCGGGCTGGGGAAATGAGTTCCTTCGTCCGCAACCACCACTGGACGCGGGGGTACTTGCGGACGCCAGAGCTGGTGGAGGGGACCGTGATGCAGGCGTTAAAGCCAGCGGGGACACGCTTCGGGACACGGTATATAACTGTTTCCCGCCTGTGTGCCCTTCGTAATTCCCTTACCCAGATGGTGCTCTCCGACCTGTGGAAAGATTGGGCGATGGGGGATCGAAAGAAAGCAGCGGAGGGGTTTGCCGCGCAGGTACTCGATGCGGCTTGGTGGAAGACCGCCGAGTTCTTCACGAAGCTCATGAAGCTCCCCTTCATCGCGATGCGGCAGACGGATGGGAGCGCAAGGGGGATGATGGGGCGAATGTACGACATAATGCTCCAACATACCGAGGATGTGGAGGCCCTTGTCGACGCGGATGAGGAGCAGTTGTCCAGCACCGACAAGCAACAGATCCGCCGCATCCTGAAAAACAGGTGGGACGGGAGTCTTGCATGCGCCATGCACGTGGCGGGACGCATCCTCATCCCCGACAACCAAGAGGAGGACATCTTCGACGGGGATGCGGAATGCACAAGGGTGTTCAAGGCTTTCCTCTCCAAACATGCGGAGTTCCTCACCGTGCGGGAGAAGGAGGGGGGTGATGAGTGCGACTATTTGCTCGCATTGGGGGACCAGCTGAGGTCTTTCCTTGACCTCAAAGGGAGTTTCGGGATGCCTGAAGCCATTTCACAGAGGGAGAAGGTAAAGGTGGGCACTTACAGCATGGTTAAGTGGTGGCAGTGGAACGGGACGGATGCGCCGCAGCTGTCGTCGCTCGCCGTAAAGGTTCTCTCGCAGCCTGTCTCGGCATCTCCGTGTGAGCGTGGATGGTCGAAGTGGGAATCAGTCCACATTGCGCGACGGAACTGCCTCGGATCCGCTAAATGCTCGGATTTAGTGTACGTCATGCACAACTGGAACGTTGTGCGCGGATGGCACACGCGCCATGAGGTGATGCCATCAGTTGTGCACGGGAATGAGGTGGAGCCGCCCATCCCCGCTGGCTACAACATCGCGGATGATATGGAGGAGGAGGAGGAAGGTGAGGACGAGGTCTTGGTGGACGAGTATGAGTAGTAGAAAGGGGACCCAGGTCAAGAAGGGGGTAAATGGTGGTGATAGGTAGAGTAGACTAGGTAGTAGCGAGGCACATTGATGTTCTATGTATGGCCGTGTGAAATTTTTTGTGTGTGGGAAAATTTTCTGCAGAAACACATCCCACCAGAACCCCCCCTTACTGCACTCCCGGAAGGTTTTTTTGCCCTGCCTGGGAAAGTTTTTTAGCTGCCCAGAAAAGCGAATCCTGGATCAGACCCCACTCGCGTTTAGCGTATATACACTAGCGTATATACGACACGCGTATATACCCTAAACGCGTATAATCCATCATAGTGCCAGAGTAACCAAGCTTGGCTGTGCTGCAACTCCAGAAGGAGTGCGGGGGCCGTTTGAATCTTCCCCCAACATCGCACTTCTTCCCTTCGATTTAACTACCGAGGCCCACTCTCTGCCCCACTCACCTTGGAGAGCACTGCAGTGCCAGAGTAACCAAGCTTAGCCGTGCTGCAGCTCCAAAAGGAGTGCGGAAACGCGGGAGACAGAGCCCTCTGGATTTCTCCTTCGTCCTTCTCCTGGAGATTCGAACAACCGGGTTCCTCCCTCTCACCTTGACTTTTGAGTCGACTCAAAAGTCAACTCCCACTCACCTTAGACAGAACAGCAGTGCCAGAGTAACCAAGCTTAGCCGTGCTGCAGCTCCAAAAGGAGTGCGGGAAAGAGGGAGACAGAGCCTTCTGAATCTCCCCCACGTCTTTCTCCTGCAACTTCGTCTCCTGCAGGCACACCACGTCAGCATGCTCCCTCTCGGCCAATCGGCACAGCGCGGTCGCCTCAGCCGCCACGTCAGGAGACACGTCAGCCGCCACGTCAGCAGCCACCTGATCCTGCGACTCGCCAGCTGGATCCTGTGATTCTCCCTCCTCCCCTCCGCCCGCTTTCCCCTTGCCTGCTCCCCTTCCCCCTTTCTTCTTCCCCTTCCCCTTGTCTGTGCTCTTCCCTCCGCTCCCCTCCCCATCCCCTTCCCCCTCCCCACCTTTAAGCAACGCTCTCAACCCATTCACATTCCAAGACACAAGACGCCATACCTTCTTCCCTCCTCCTCCCTTCTCCCTTTCCTTCCCTCCTTCCTCCGCTCCCTCTCTTTCCCCCGCCAGCTCACTCCCCTCCCCATCCACGTCAGCTTTCCTCATGGTCTTGGGATCATACGGGAACCAATCAGGTTGCAGCTTTCGGTGAACCAGAACCTTCCAAGGCTCTTGACTGGCTTCGGCATCTGCTTCCATTCGCTTAGCTATCTCCATCTGCTCTTTTTTCGTCATCTGCCCAGGTTTCTTCTGCCCGGCCTTACCACGACCTTTTTTCACCTGCCCGCCAGTGACGGCTTCTTTCCCCTTTCTGCCCTCCTCGTTACCTTCCTGTGACTCCAATGGTTGTGATTCTGGTTGTGACTCTAACGGTTGTGACTCTGGCTCTTGTGACTCCACGTGTCCTGATTCTACTGGCTTGCTTCCCTTAGCCTGCTGACCACGCCACCCTGCGGGTCTTCCCCTCTTTCCCCCTTTCTTCTTCTCCTCCTCCTCCTCTTCCTCCTCCTCCTCCTCCTCCTCCTCCTCTTCCTCTTCTTCCTCCTCCTCCTCCTCTTCATCGTCACTCATCTCTGCAGCTTTCCCCCTTCTCCCTTTACCCGCCGCTACTGCGCCCCCTCTCCCCACTGACCGCGCCCTTCCCCCTGCCCAGCCTCCCCCCACCTTCCCCGCTTCCGCCTTCCCACCCCCGCTGGGCACCTCTCTCGCGCGCTTGATCCCCGCGCGCCTTTTCCCCGCGCCTTCCGCCTCCGCGTTTTCTCCGTCGGTCGCGGCGACGATCGCGGCGTCGTCAGCGGCGGCGCCGTCGCCGCGAGCGCCGGAACGACCAGCCGCGGCGGAAGCTGCTGCTGCTGCCCGCGTGGAGCGGCGCAGAGCGGTGCTGTGCGGCGCATCGGAGTTCTTCTGCGGAGCGGCGGGTTTCCGCCCACCACCAGCCATTGTCGCACCACTCGTTAATGTTCGAGACCTTGATACTGTCACAAATGCGGGGACTGTTGTTCTCAAAGGAACAACGGATATAGCAAAACTCGAATGGACGTTTCTCACTAAGCGCATCCAGCGTACACCTGAAGGCAAAACAGTATAATCTCGCAACGATAAACTACCGGACGTAACAGAGTCGATTGCGAATTTTGGCGAAAGGGCGACGGGAGCCGTGGATGCTGTCCGGGCGGCAAATCGGACGGCTGCGATGGCCGATGGCGTGGCTAAGGAGTTTCGGATAGTAACGAATGGCACCATTCAGACAAAAGCAGGGCAGAGAAGAAATAGGAGGCTAGTTTTTCTGCTCTGAAACCTACACTCGGGACACTGGCACGACACTGAAAATAGCCCCAATTGAAATCATCCTCGATATTTTTCACCCCCTTATAATGATTCGGTGGTTTGTAAACAAGGGCTTGTGATATCGAACAGCTCGATCGTGCACATTCCGCACAAAGTTGTTCGCGAATTTTCTCCGATACAATGTGCCCTTTTACGAGTTCAGCAAAAACTAAAGATCACGAAGGCTCTGTACACTAATCTCTGAAATTCGAGGATTTGAATCTCTCCGTTTCCCGCCAAATTTGACTGCAACCTCGATATCCTCTCCCCTCCATTCTCACCCTCCAACTAGTCATGATTCTTTCACTCTAGTCCTCGCTCACTCGAGATTCAGCGCTGCGTTAGGGTTTCCGTAGGCTTCTGTTTGCGAGTGGTGGATCGACGAGCGTCGGTGTTCTGATTTTATATTTCGCTGATAAGCGAAGCTAGTGCAGTTGATAAGCGAGCAGTAGGTGGGGGATACTCGACGCCAGCCTGCATAGGGGAGCGGATCAGCAACGCTCGTTTGAGTGAATAAGTGCTGTAATGAAGAGGGTTAGAGAAGATGACGAGGGTTCGCGGCATGGTAGAGATGGCGGGAAGAATGGGGGGGGTGGGGGAGAAGGAGAGGAGAAGCAGACACGAAGCAGGGGAGATGAGGGTGACGGTGGTGGGGACGGCGCGCGGGACAACGGGAAAGATCAGAAAATGAAGGATCGAGAAGGAGGGAATGTGGTGGAGGGAGTTTCGAGAGGGAGTCTTGAAACAGGAGGACAAGGCGTGGTGGAGGAGGGAGGGAGGGGGCTTGGGGTATTGAAGGGGGGACGGGAGAGTGGAAGAAGCGACCAAAAGAAGGTTAAGAAAAAGGAAGATGAGGAAGAGGAGGATGATGATGAGGAGGATTGCGTTAAGATCGAGGAAGACAATGACGAGGATGTCAAGATAGAGGAGGAGAAGGAGGAGTGTATCGAACTTTTGGACGAGGAGGAGGATGATGGCGGTGACGATAACGAGGCGGCTGAAATCGAGGATAATTCGGAGGAGGAGGGCCCGAAGAAGGTGATGAAGCTGAACGAAGCCGCGAAGAAGTCGCGGAAGCGTGACGTGGCAGATCGGGCGTGGGCTGGGGAGGATGTTGCAGAGGGCGGGAAGGGGGAGGGATTCGCGAAGAAAAAAATAAGGAAATTGGGGAATGGGAAAGTGAGTGATATGGAGAAGAGAGAAGGAGAGAAGGGCAGCGAGGTTCGAAAAGACAGGGGCGATGGGGATATGCGTGAGCAAGACGGGAACGAGGAGAGGCAGGAGGAGAAGGAGCAGAGAGGGGAGACCGGTGATGGTAGAGAACCGATAAGAATTGTGAAGGATGAGAAAGGGAAACGTCCTAAGGTGAAGTCCGGTAAAGATGGTGAAAGGGGAGGAGGAGGAGGAGGAGGAGATGAGGAGGGGGACGACGGAGCTAGGGCGCGTGGCGAGCAGGGGGAGCGAGGGGAGCAAGGGGAGCAGGGGGTGCAAGGGGAGAAAGAGGAGAAAGGGGGGAACGGGGAGAAGGAGGAGCAGAACGAGGGGCGGGAAGGGGATCAGCGACAAGAAGGGAAGCGAGAGAAGGGGGAGATGGGAGAGAAGAATGGGAAGCAGAATGGGGAGCAGAAGGGGGAACAGAAGGGGGAACAGAAGGGGGAACAGAAGGGGGAGCAGAAGGGGGAGCAGAAGGGGGAACAGACGGGAAGCATGGTAACCCGCAAGAAAGACATATCATACGTTCTTATAGACTTAAAGCCTCGAGAGCAGACTAAGAAGACAGGGGGGAGCAGGGACGGCAAGGGGGGCAGCGTGGGGGACAACGGTGGGGAAACGCCTGGGAAGGAGGAGGACGGGGGGAGTGACGGGCAGTCGAAAAGAGTAGGGGCGAGTGTGGAGGCTGATGGGGCAGGTGAAAAAGCAGGTGTGGGAGGGGCAGCACGAACAGCAGAAGGGGGAAAGAAACGGAAAGGCCTCCCCCCACGCTCTAGGAAAACGGGCAAGAAGGGGGGAGGGAGGGGGGGGCATGGGTGGAGCAAGGCAGGTCTTGCTGGTGCAGGGGCGGCTGGGGGAGGGCTTATAACGGGGATGGGGGACAAGAGGAAGGAGGCGGATCTGGTGAAGGTGGTACCTGCGCCCAAGGGGCTGGAGATAGAGGATGGGCCTGATAAGCCCGTTGTCTTATCACGCGTGTTCCGGGCGGCACAGATCCAGGTTAGCAGCAAAGGCAATCGTATGGTACTGTGAGAACCACATGGTGCATCTGGGGCGCACAGGGCACACCCGCATAGGCTGGGCCTCACAGCGTGCCGATATGCCCTTCACCCTCTGCCTTCCCTCATTCCCGTGTCGCTCTTTCACTGCTTTCTCCTCCCGATTTCCTCATACCCAGCTAAGTGAAGACAGCTTGTCAGCAACGAGCAGCAAGGGCTATCGCATGGTTCTAGCTACCAGAGGGATAGTGGAGGGCGCTTGGTACTTCGAGATCCACATGCTGCATCTGGGGCACGCAGGGCACGCCCGCATAGGCTGGGCCACGCAGCGAGCCGACATGCAGACTCCCGTGGGGTTTGACTCGTGGGGGCACACAGGCCCTTCAACCATCTCCCTTTCCCTGTGCCCCACAGTCCTCTCCGTCCCTCCTTCCCTCCTTCCCACAGCTAAGTGATGATCGATTGTCAGCGACGAGCAGCAAGGGCTATCGCACGGTGCTAGCCACCAGAGGGGTAATAGAGGGCGCATGGTACTTCGAGATCCACATGCTGCACCTGGGGCAGTCAGGCCACGCCCGCATAGGCTGGGGCACTCAGCGGTGTGCCGACATTCCTTGCACCCCTTAGCCTTCCCTCATCCCTTCTCTCCCTTGTCTCGCTTCTCTCCCTTCTCTCCTTCCCTGCTTCACCCAGTTGAGTGAGGATCGATTCTCAGCCACGAGCAGCAAGGGCTATCGCACGGTGCTAGCAACCAGAGGGGTAATGGAAGGCGCGTGGTATTTCGAAATCCACATGCAGCATCTGGGGCACACAGGGCACGCCCGCATAGGCTGGGCCACGCAGCGAGCCGACATGCAGACTCTCGTGGGGTTTGACGTGTGGGGGTTTGGGTTCCGGGATGTGGATGGGAGTGTGGTTCATCAGGCAGTTAGGAGGGCGTACGCTGGAGGATCGCTGGATTTTCCTCCCCTTCCTCCTGCTGCCGCAACTGCTGCTGCGGCTGCCACTGCTGCTTCTGGTGCCTCTGCTGCTGCCCCGACACCCGCTGCTGCAACTGCTGCTGCAACTCCTGCTGCTGGTGACATGGAAAATGCACCTGACTGGAAGAATCCGCCTGAAAATGCATCTGCACACCCTGAAACCACTCACAACCATTCCCAACCTCAGCATTCGCTGGACATAAGCAAGCGGGCCCCAGGGTATGTTGAGGGCGATGTGATTGGCTGCTACATCAGCCTGCCAGGAGGCGCCAGGCTGGCGCCCAAGCCGCGGCCGCTGGTGACGTGGAAGGGGCAACCATGCTACGTGGAGAGCGAGGAGAGTGCAAAAGGAGGGCCCCCTGTGCCTGGTGAGTGTGTATTCTTTCCATTCAACTCTTTCCCCTGCCTTGACTAGCCACGCCCGCTGTGCTTGGTGGAAGGGCCAGCCGTGCTACGTGGAGAGCGAGGAGAGTGCAAAAGGAGGGGCCCCTGTGCCTGGTGAGCAATCTGCCTTCCATTCTCTCCTGTGCCTGGCGAGCGTTTTTCTCCCTTCTCACTGTGGTGTGTGCATGCCACGCCATTCCATTCTTTCCTGCGCCGGGTGCCTTGCGAGCGCTTCTGCCTTGCTTACCATTCTTTCCCGAGCCTTCACTAGCCGTGCTATGTGGAGAGTGAGGAGAGTGCAAGGGGAGGGCCTCCCGTGCCTGGTAAGCGTTGTGGTATGTTCATGGTTTGGCTTTCCGTTCTTTCCTGCGCGTTGACAAGCCGCGGTCGCTGCTGACGTGGAAGGTGGGGAAGCGTGCATAGGTGCATGCTTCTTTCTCCAACTGAATTTAACTGTGATATGTTTTCCACCACCCTTTCTCAGGAAGTGAAATCGTGTTTTTCCGCAATGGGGTGTGTCTGGGCACGGCGTTTAAAGAAATTCCAGCGGGCAGATACTTCCCGGCAGCTTCCCTCTTCACGCTGCCCGACCAATCAGAGGGCGCCACCGTACGCTTCAACTTTGGGCCAAAATTTTCTCACATGCCCGCAGACTGGGGCAGCCGGCCTGTGCCGGGAGTTTTTTCAGCTGCCCCCCACATTCCAGCTTCGGAGTATGAAGCAGATCTTGGGGAAGAGGGGGAGGGGAAGGAGGGGAAGGATGGGGAGGTCAAAGAAAGGAAGGATGGGGAGGGGGAGGATGGGAAGGAGGGCAAAATAGGGAAATTGGGGGAGGGGAAGGAAGGTAGATATTGTAAGGAGGAGAAGGAGGAAGGTGGGAGCAAGGAGGGGGGAATAGTCAAGGATGAGAAAGAGGAGGTTGAAGGTAACGAGGGAGAAGAGATGAAGGATGAGAAACTAGAGGGCGGGGAGAAAAATGGAGAGGGGAAGGAGGACGCGAGGAATGGTGAGATGGAGGAGGGAGAGGGGAAGGAGGTGAAGAAAGAGAGGGAGGAGATAGACGAGGACATGGAAGGTGAGGATGGTGTGGGTGATAAAGAGGGGAAGGCCAACGAGAAGGGTGTATCACAAGAGAATGAGAGGGAGGGAGAAGGGGGGAGCGCAGATATTACTGAGGGGGGAGAAGGGGATGGAACTAAAAATGCGGATGGAGAGGGAGGTGAAAATAATTCGTGAAGGGAAAGGAGGGAGGGAGGGTATTTGGGATGAAGAGTGCAGACCAAGAAACTCGAGAAGAAAGGATAGCAGAGAGGAGAGTATGGTCCTTGTGTCAAGGTTCAAGCGGAGTTCTGAGAAAATTGTGGGTGTGATACGTTCGAGGAGTGGTCGCGGGATGCAGAAGTATGGCAACATACCGTATGTTGGACTAATTAATCATGTTTGAGGGTATGTAGTTTAGTTTTTACATGGTTTTATCAAGTCGTGTTCTTCTGTAGCTTCTAAGTTCCCAGCCGCTCAAATTTTCTGCAGGAGTGAACTAGTGATTTTTATTGATTTCTCTGTTGGCTGGGAACCGTCACAAGCGCTGTCGGTGGATGATTTTCCGTGTCGGTGGACCAGCGTGTGGATGGCACATGCGGCCCAAACAAGCCCGTGTTCAGGAAACACGAAGATCTGCGACATGCCCAAGCCTCGTAACCGTTCGTGAAATGTTCACGAATCCTATCGCCTAGTTCATCGTCAACGCACCTTCGCTCGGATTTGGGCAGATTTACGTCATACCACTACCAAAGCCTACCCAACCGCTCTATCATGTATACATAACGTGTTTGGAACGCATGGTATTGCCCTGAACCGTACAGATGGATTTGCCTGGCTTTATTTGAGGCGCTATTTTTCCCATCTTGTCCCAGAAGCTAGAATCTGGTGAAAGCTTGGCACATTTCGTCTGCTATTTCTGGCATCCGCAATTCACGGTAGCCGTTGTTTGGCAGAATTGTCACCTCTTAGCCCGCAAAATCAATGGATTCGTCGTCTGCCACGTGTCATTTCTTTAGTTGCACCGCCACTTCGCGGTGCGCTCTTGAGATCTTGTCTTCGCCAATGAGTCAAGATTTGAGTCTAGGAGCATGTACACAAGGCCAGATACTATCTCGCTGCGAACGAATTCGGAAGCTTCGTCCGTGTATACTTCCCTGTGGGAGTCACGGGCTCGAACTTTGGAGACGCCCAGAAAGCGCAGGCAGGACAATCGCAATGAAATCCAGTCAACAATTTTCCTTGGTGCATCTGTTCTTCGAGGAGGCACTTCTCTCCATTTCTCTCCATTTGTGCGACGGTTACATTTCTCTCCATAAAGCGGTTCGTCGCCGCCTTAAGCTTCCCGGCCGATTTTTGCATCCGGCTCAGCTGTCTGAAATTCTCTTAGAAGGTCGAAGTTCCGAGACTATTAGGTCTGCTCCTTAAGCGCTAGTACTCCGATAATCGACGTTCTTAACGGACAGAATCTGTTCTGATTGCGGCTCCGAGTTTTTTATATTCATCCTTCAAGGTCAAGCTCCGGGGGTGAAACTCACGTGAGCCATGATGGACGATCAGGATCAATTGATGAGCGATCTGACGGACGGGGCCAGCAGCGCTGGTGCGATGAACGGCTCAGACTCACCGCCTTTTGCGAGGATTGCTCCGCAAAATCCTTCCGTTAACACTCGCTCAGATTGGGAAGTGCCCCAATTTGGAAGCAGCAGCATTTTAAACCTGCCTCCCCCTTCCTGCCACGGCTCAAGGGAAATTTCCCCTTTTAATAACTCAGGTGAAATACCCCCGTTCGGTGACCCAGGGTATCATTTTTCAGAGGAAATTCCCCCGTTTGACGAGGCAATGCTGGAGCCGTTCCGGCTTTCTGGGGAGATTCTTGCTGACGTGGCAGCGGCATTTGACCACGCCAGGTCAACATTTGCCTGTGTGGAGTCCACGTGTCCCACAGATACCACCTTCACCTCTGCTGCTTCAGCCTTACCTGCTTCGAACTTCCCTGCTCCTGCCGTCTCACCTGCTGCCGTCTCACCTGCTGCCGTCTCACCTGCTGCCGTCTCCCCCTCATGTGAAAGTAGCTGCCCGTCTTCGTCCCCGCTACAGCCGGCAGCAGCACCATCAGGTGCACCAGAGCAAGCGCATGCTACAGCCGGCCCTACCTGCTGCGTGTCACCCCTGCTACAGCCCGCAACAGCACCATTGGGAGTAGCAGAACAAGCACATGCTACAGTCAAGACTCTCACTACCGCTACTGCTTCTGCTGCAGCAGGCCCTACCTGCTGGCTGTCCGCCCCGCTACAGCCGGCAGCAGCACCATCAGGTGCAACAGAGCAAGCTCATGCTACAGCCGGCACCTTGACTACCGCTACTGCTTCTGCTGCAGCTACAGCTGGCCTCGCCTTCAGCATGTCCTCCTTGCTACAGCCGGCAGCAGCGCCATCAGGTGCACCAGAACAAACATGTGCTACAGTTGCCAATTTGACAGCAACTGCTGCTACTTCTGCTGCAGCTGGCCCTACCTGTGCGACCAGTCACCCGACCGTTCCGCACTCCTCCCAACCGCTTCATCTTGTGAAGAGGAATGCTGGAACGCCCCTGAACCTGCTTACTCCACCAGTTGCGCCCATGGAGGGGAAACTATTCGCCCCTCTCCCCCCATCTACACCTCTCCCCTCGCCCGCACTTCTACCCCCATCAGAACCCGCAGCAGCAGTACTATCCGCACCCAATAGCCCAGCCGCTCCGCATCCCTCCCAACCACTTCGTCTCGCACACACACCACCTGACAGGTGGGGACAACCCACTCCGCCCGACCCGTGCCGCCCAGCAGCGTTTCCGCTTCTGTGTCTGCCCCAGTGGGTCCCTCTACCTCCCCTTAGATTCGCTCCCCCCACACCATCTTTCACACCGTTGTTAAATCAACACAAAAAGTGTCTCCCTGCTCCTCCCCTTAGCTTTGCTCTTCCCACACCCCCAACCTCCTGTGCCGACCCCAAACCACCCACCCGTGCGTTGCCCTCGAGATCCTCCCCACCAGCAAAGCTGCCTGTAGCACCAACGCGAATCCCACAAACGAGCCCAGCTGTAGCAGTTGCACCATCCCTGCCAGCAAGCCTGGCTGTAGCAGCAGTGTCAGCCGAGCCAGTCGGGCTGGCTGTAGCAGCAGCGACAACCCCACTATCCAGCCCGGCTGTAGCAGCTTCGCCAGCTTCACTAATCAGCCCGGCTGTAGCAGCTTCGCCAGATTCACTAATCAGCCCGGCTGTAGCAGCTGCACCATCCCTGCCGGCGAAGTTGGCTGTAGCAGCTGCGACAACCCCACCAACCAGCCCGGTTGTAGCAGCAACACCAGCCCGACTAACCAGCTCAGTCGTAGCAGCAGCCAGTCCCTTAGACGCATGTGAGAGCAAAGGCATGAGTAGCAACAGCCACGACAGCAGCAGGAGCAGGAGCAGCAGTAGCAGCAACGGAAGCCGCAGTAAGAGGAGGAGGGAGGGGGAGGGCGGAGCTGGTGATATGCTCACCTGCAAGGATCGCCATTTTTCTGTGTATCCAGGGGAGGTGGCATCCACAGCCCCTCCTCTCCAGGGTCTTGAGGAGTTCGCAAGGGCTGTGAGGGAGGGGGAAGGCGGAAGTGGTAATAATCTTCCCTGCAAGGAGCAACATTTCTCTGTGCATGGAGGCGGGATGGTATCCACAGCCCCTCCTCTTCAGGGTCTTGAGAAGTTTGCAAGGGCTGTGAGGCAGCGGATTGCCATGGGGAGTGGGATGGTTGGAGTTGGGAGTGTGGAGGGTGTGAGTGCGGGAAAGGAGAGTTCGGGAATGGAAAGTGTGGGAGGTGGGAGTGTGGGGGTTGAGAGTGTGGGAGGCGTGACTACCGGTTGTGTGATTGTAACGCAGCCTGACACAACAATGCAGAGGGTTCGAAGCAGCAGCGGTAACAGTGACCTCGGTGGTGCGGGCTGCGAGGCTGGTGGTGGTGAGGGAAAGAAATTGGAGAGGAGTGGTTGCAAGGCAACAGGTGTGAAGGGGGTTCCTTTGAGGAGGAGACGCAATCGTATCAGATCAGAACGATCCCGCCGCAAGCGAGTGAGGTGCGTCGGGGACAGAATAACTGAATTACACATGCGACCCAAGACCAATACCTGCTCTCTTAGCGAAAGCCTTGGGAAAAAATAAAGTACATTTTTTGTTGAATCCATTCTCCTCTGTCTCTCTCAGACCCCCTATCCAACACCTTCTCATATCCGAAATTGACTTTTCCTCCCTCCTCGCTCCTTCCCTTCCTCTCCAGCGATGCTGTGGAAACCCTTCGGTTGCTGGTCCCTGCTCCTGTGTCTGCTCCGACCGACATGGCATCGGTGCTAGAAGCAACAGCAGCATACATCCGACAATTGCAGGTAAGCTGCTCGTTTAAAGAATGCCATTCTGCTACAGCCCACAGAAGCAGCATACACTTAAATTGACAGGTATGCTGCCCGTTACCTAACCTTCCTATGCATGTGATGATGTCAGGGGTAGATGATGCGTGAGTGGTTTGCTTTATTTCTCATATTGTATGTGTGGTGTTCATTGGGAGGATGTGTCTTTTTTGTTGTTGTGGTAATTGCTCAAATAACCTTACAATCTAGTGCATTTTATCGTCTGATTGCTTAAATATTTATTTTACTCATGACGGCTAAATCGAACCCGTGTTTCCGATTTCTTTCATGGGTATGTTGGTGTTATAGGGCCTCACAGATACGATTCAAAGCATGGCCTTGGCTCAGAAGTCAACCAGAAATTAATATTGGGTTCGTGACATGTTGGGCGTTTTCCTTCACTTCAGTACGACGATATGGTACAGGCTGTCACATAGACGCCAAACCAGGGCCTCAGATTCGTTTTGGGGGACCCTGAGCACTCAGGGTCCCTTGGAGGTGTAACACTGATCATCAGGGTTGCCTATGGATAAACACTGATTTCTCAGGGTTGGTAAAAAAAAACACTGATCAAACATGGTGCATTTTCAAAAAACACTGATATGCTCTCACAGTAGAACAACTTTTAAAATTTTGTAACACTGTTCAAGTGAACTTCTATGTACTGTCAAAGTAACGAACGAGAATGAATGAACTAAGAAAGAGTTGGGTACAAGTGCTAACCCTAATTGGGTTGTACCCCTTATGGGCTACCCCACTATAGCCTACACAAAGTAAGCAATATAACATTTTGACACACCCCCATAGGCAAAGTGGGGGAGAACAAGTCGTCACAAGACCAGTCAAGAACAACAAAGCAAGCTCAGGGTGGATCACGAAGTCACCACACATTCCGAGCACAAGCAAATGGCCACAAGTCTAGTTCACATGCAGAGTTATATAAAATAGAACAAACAGTACAGTGACCATATCATAGCAAGTGTAAGCATGCAGGTATATATATAGATCACAATACAAGCAGAGTCAAGCAGTAAGCAAGTGAGGCAAAGTAGGCACAAGGCCTAAAACAGTACAGAAACGCTGATGATCACCAGACTGAAGTGTCTTGGTGAATATATCAGCAGTGTTGGCCCGAGTGGCCACGTACGCAAGACGAAGCTGACCACGCTGCTGTGAGAATAATACGAGGAATTATGTGGACTAGAAAGGAGATGGGTAAAAGTATGAAAACCTAGAAAAGTTGTACCCCATAATGTCTACCCCACTTCAGCCTACACAGGCTATATCATATATGTTTGACACACCCCCATAGGCAAAGTTGGGGAGAACAAGAGGTCACAAGACCAGTCAAGCAAAGCAAAGCAAGCTCAGGGTGGATCACGACGTCACCACACATTCTGAGCACAAGTACAAGGCCACAAGGCCAGTTCACATGCAGAGTTATATATCAAGGTGAACAAGCAAGACAGTGATCTCAACCTAGCAAGGGTAAGCATGCAGGTGCAGGTATATATAGATCACAGTACAAGCAAAGTCAAGAAGTGAGCAAGTGAGGCCAAGTAGGCACAAGACCTAGCATAGTACAAAAACGCTGATGATCACAAGGCTGAAGTGCCTTGGTAAAGATATCAGCAGTGTTGGTCCGAATGACCACGTAAGCAAGACGAAGCTGACCACGCTGCTGCAACTCTCGAGCAAGGAAGTAGCGCAGAGCAATGTGCTTCGTTCTGTGCTCCAGTCTGTGCTCCTGACACAAGGCAAGCATGGCTTTGTTGTTGACGTACAGAACCGGAGGAGAACGAGGCGCCTCTCCCAAGTCGGTCAGCAGGTAGGTGAGCCAGCGAAGCTCCTGTGCAGCCATGGCCCCAGCGTAGATCTCAGCCTCACAACTGGAGCTGAGAACAGAAGACGAGCGGGGAGACCGCCACGAAACAGATCCGGAACCAAGGCTGAAGGTGTAACCTTGTGACGACCGCTGAGTAGCCAAGTCGTCAACCCAAGAAGCGTCTGCGTGACCAGTGAGGACAACTCGAGCCCGTCCTCCAAGCACGAGCCCCATGCTCGACGTACCGCACAGGTAGCGCAACACCCTCTTACCTGCATCCATGTGCTCTGGTCGGTGTCTCCCAGGAGCAAAATAGCGTGCCAAGATGCTAAGAGAGTATGCCAGGTCAGGTCGAGTGCAGGTCATCAGGTACATGAGGCAGCCAACAAGCTCTGGGTACGGGCCACTCGGTTCTACGGACTCATCCGAAGGCAGAGCTGAGAGCGAGTGGCGAGTAGACAGAGGAGTGGCCTGAGGCAAGGAGTACGTGAAGTTGAAGCGCTGAAGGACCTGCTGCACCATGTGTGACTGAGTCAAGGTAATGGTGCGGCGTGCTTTGTCCCGGGTGATCTGCAAGCCAAGATAGCTTGTGAGCTCACCCAGGTCTGTGCACGTGTGTCTCTTCTGCAGCTCCGACTTCACGTGGGCCGGTCCAGCAGTGTCAGCAGTAGTAAAGACCAAGTCGTCGACGTACACGAGGATGTCGAACGGCGGCAGAGTAGTGTCGGTGCGGAGAAACATCGACGGGTCAGCAGTGGAAGGAGCAAACCCAAGAGCCGCAAGCGTAGTCCTCAGTGTGTCGTGCCACTCACGGGGCGCCTGGCGGAGACTGTAGACTGGCCGCCGGAGGCTCCACTTGGTACCAGGAGGAAACGACCCAGTGAAGCCAGGTGGGCGGCGCAACCAGATCTCCTCGTGCAGGCTGCCCTGTAGGAAGGCTGTGCTGAAGTCAAGAGAGTGCAGCTCGTAGTCACGCTGAGCAGCAACGTGCAGCAGTACCCGAAGAGTGGTCATCTTCGGGGTGGGAGAGAAGGTCTGAAAGTAGTCAACTCCCTGCGGCTGACTGAAGCCTCGAGCCACGTAATGCGCCTTGAAGACAGGCGGAGAACCCGGCGGCCGCTTCACCCTGAAAATCCACATGCCATCGACAATGTTCGGCCCAGGTGGGGGAACCTCGTGGACGTAGGTGCCTGTGGACTTCCAGGAAGCCATCTCTGCGTCCATGGCTGTCTGCCACTGAGAGGAGTAGGGACCCTCTATCGCGTCTGCGTAAGAGCGCGAGGTCGGGATGTTTGGTGCATCCGGGTCTCCCTCAGGGGCAAGCAGCATGGAAGAGAAACGAGGTACAGCAGCTGCAAGAGACTCAAAGTCCTCCTGCCTGTCCTCAAGGACGTCCGTGCTAAGAGCACACTCACCCCCGACGGACGGAGGACAGACAGACGCAGACTCAGCAACAAGACTAGCGGCGTAGTCTAGACGACAGTGAGCAGCAAAGTCGACAAGCTCAGCAACTAAGGCAGACGCAGCAGTGGACTCAAAGGAAGGGTCAGTGACAACACTGGCCAAGAGACGCGTGACAGTAGGACTAGCAGCACGAAGGGAGTCAGACTCCGGGTCAGCAAGTGCAGGAAGAGAGGACTCAGGAGGAGACGGCAGAGGGACACGCTGCGG